CGATCCTGGCGCGGGATCACCGTCCCACCCCGCTGGAACACCGGGATCTGCGGGGAAAACGGGGGTCAGAACCCCAAAAACAACGGGGAAATATTCCCAAAAAGAGCAGGAAAATATCTCAAAAACCACAGGAGAATATTGTAAAAAAACCCCACGAAAATATCGCAAAAAAACCCACCAAAATATCCAAAAAGCAATGGGAAAAAAAAAACCAAAAAGAGCAGGAAAATGTCCCTAAAACAAGGAGAAAATACAGAAAAAAAACAACGGGAAAATATCCCAAAAAAACCCAGAAAAATATTGCAAAAAAAACCCCACGAAAATATCCCAAAAACAACGGGAAAAAACCCCAAAAAACCCCATAAAAATACCCCCCAAAAAATCTCAAAAAAACTAGAAAATACCCAGGATGATTTTAGGATATTTTGTGGGGATTTTTGGGTTTTCCAGGATGATTTTATGGGATCCAGGATGATTTTAGGATATTTTTTTGGGTTTTAGGATATTCTGTAGGGTTTTTTTGGGGTCTGGACCCACCGTGCCGATGCCTATAGGAACACAGAGGGTTTGGGGGATTTTTGGGATTTTCAGGGGGAATTTTTGGGGTTTCCAGGATGATTTTAGGGTATTTTGTGGGGTTTTAGGATATTTTGTAGGGTTTTTTTGGGGTCCAGACCCACCGTTCCAATGCCCACGGGGACATAGAGCGTTTGGGGGATTTTTGGGGTTTTCCAGGATGATTTTATGGGATCCAGGATGATTTTAGGATATTTTGTAGGGTTTTTTTGGGGTCCTGACCCACCGTGCCGATGCCCACAGAGAACACGGAAGGTTTGAGGGATTTTTGGGGTTTCCAGGATGATTTTAGGGGTTTTCTATGGTGTTTTATGGGATCCAGGATGGTTTTAGGACATTTTTGGGGGTTTTAGGATATTCTGTAGGGTTTTAGGATATTCTGTAGGGTTTTTTTGGGGTCCAGACCCACCGTGCCGATGCCCACGGGGACGTAGAGCGTTTGGGGTCCCCGGTGCCGCTCGTGGCTCTCGTCTTCGTACCAAACCTGGGGGGGAAATTTGAGGTCAGCGGGGTCCCCAATCCCATAAAAACCCCATAAAAACCCCAAAATCCCATAAAAACCCCACAAAAACCCCACAAAAACCCCACTGACCTCTCCCTCGCCGGGCAGGTAAACGTTGACCCCGCGGGCGCTCGGCTCCGTCACCGGGTGAACCAGGAGAACCCGGTCTGGGGAGGGAAAAAGGGTCAAGAGCATAAAAATGACCCTAAAACTGATCCTAAAAGGGTCAGGAGCTTAAAAATGATCCTAAAAGGGAAAGGGATCCTAAAAACGAACCTAAAAATGATCCTAAAAAGGGGAATGGATCCTAAAAATGATCCCCAAATGATCCTAAAAGGGAAAGGGATCCTAAAAATGATCCTAAAATGATCCTAAAAGGGGAAAGGGATCCTAAAAATGATCCTAAAAGGGAGAGGGATCCTAAAAATGATCCTAAATGGGGAATGGATCCTAAAAACGACCCTAAAATGATCCTAAATGGGGCAGGTGCGTAAAAATGACCCTAAAATGATCCTTAAAGGGTCAGGACCCTAAAAACGAACCTAAAAATGATCCTAAATGGGGAAAGGGATCCAAAAAATGATCCTAAAAGGGTCAGGAGCCTAAAAACGACCCTAAAACTGATCCTAAAATGATCCTAAATGGGTCAGGAGCCTAAAAATGATCCTAAAATGATCCTAAATGGGAAAGGGATCCTAAAAATGATCCTAAAATGATC